ACTCTATATCCATACAATTAACCCTCCTCAAAACAAGGCTCCCAGCACTAAATCTCATCCTAGGTTTTCCTAGGGCAAACTCCATACTACTCTCCTCCATCAGTTGCAGAAGGAACTCCCGCTAACCTCCTCTAACTAGCTCATGAATACAATTACATATCACTAAAACCATAAAATTCTTCGAATGAGAGGTATCACACTACAACGGTTGGACTCAAACAAGAGTTGCACAATAGAGTTAAAACCTAACCTTCTAAAATTATTTAGTTCCCATAATATGTAGCTTAGCATATTCTCTTACTAGTCAGCTGAAGTTAGTAAGAACTCCTAAAAGCACAAAGCAAACAACATTCGGGCATCAAGTAATCAGAACCAAGCATACCCTAATCAGGCCATCCTATCACAGACTAATCAGTACTAGCATGCAAGTCTACAAGCTCATACAACAGGCATACGAAGATATCTCTACTAGCATTCTATCATGCAAAACTGAGCAAATCCTTAGCCCTAACTAGCATGCAATTCACAGATTCACAGATCAAATCATATCACAATACATGTATGGGTATTTTGGGAAACTTACTTGAGCTCGGTCGATTGCATGCACCACACCCCTTTTCTTTTATTAGAAATCTTTTTACAAAACATTTTCTTTTTGAAAATTCTACCAAACCCTCAGTTTGAGTTCAGACACACCCGAGAGTGTGCCTGAATCCCTCAAACTAAGGCTCTGATACCAACTTGTAACGTACCAAAAATGAAGACTAAAAATTTCAATTTATATATTAAATAAACCATCAACCCAATCAATATTATAAACCATAGTGAAAATCAGAATGTGTCAAATAATATCTAAGTACATCAGAGTCATAGAAAACGCGGAACAATGTGGTGTGTGCAATGCAGTCATCCCGAGCACTTCCCCTTGGAACTAGAAGTACCTGAAACATAAATTGAAAACTGTAAGCACAAAGCTTAGTGACTTCCCCAAACTACCCCATACCATACATAATAAATCACATACTGGGCCCCCGCCCTCCATTGGGCCCCGCCCGATATCGAGTCCCACTCAGCTTCAGGCCCCGCTCGGTATACAGATCTGTTATTCTTAGGCCCCGCCTGACATCGATCCCCGCCCACCATACACATAGGCATATATCACATAATTATACTAGCACATACAATGATCATAAAACAATAGCATGCGATACAGTCATCAGGCCTCTCCCGGTATACATAGCAGCACATAACACATGCAAGGGTCACGCAGACTCCTAGAATCCTAACATAAACAATAAGGGTCGACATTGGTGCCTTAGACACGCTAAATCCAGTGAGGAAACTCACCTCGACTGTTGAATCAAACGACTAAGTCTCTGGCTGTTGTTCGACGAATCACCGAGCTATCAATACCAAATAACATCCAATTAATAATTGGATTCCAATCCATAACTATCAGTCCATAATCATGGTAAAAGAGACCATTTTACCCCTTAAATAGTTTGGACCAAGACTTAGGCCCAAACCTATAATCCAAAAGGCCCAAAAACCAAGTAATCATTCAAGGCCCATACTTGGCCCAATTTTCCAATTTGGGCCCAAACCCTACATGAGCCTTACCCCAAGGCCCACCAATTCTCCTAGTCTAGAACACTTGCACTCAGATGGCCCAACAAGACCCCAAGTATCTAAGTCCAATAGAATGGCCCAAACTCGAGGCCCAAAACGCTAAGCCCAACAGACTGAGTATCCGGGCCTACTCAGCACGTATGCGCAGCGTACACGCTTGAAGGCTTGTACGCCCATCGTACTCACCCATTCAGCCAAGATTCGAATTTTAACCCTTAATCCCTTAAGACATTTCTCCAAAACGTAGATCTGACTTCCCTGAGCAGGATTATCAGGTAAAGTTGCTAACTTTACGTTCATGCATGGCTAAATGAAACTCTTAAGCTTAAAAATGACTTAATAGGTGACTTAATGCATGCATGAAACCCAATACTCCATAAAGTTGGCACCTTTATGCTTAAAGAACCCCTAATAAGCTCAGGTCTAGAAGAACAATCCTTTTAAATGTCCTAAACCATCAATCAACCCATAAAGGGACCAAAAGCATAGCAAATCAAGCCAAAAGAGATCTAAGCATTAACAAGTCAAGGCTTGGACTTGATACCTCTAGGAGCTTGCAAAGTGATGAATGATTCTGGATCTCTAAGTTCCCCGCCAAGCTATGAACCTTCCACCTTCTTCGGTCTCTTCAAAAATGAGAAAAACAACACCAAATTCTCCTCAAGAGCTCAAATGCACATTAATGGAGGCTAAGGGCTGATTTCTAGGGTTTTAGGGCAATGGAGGCTGGTAAAGAGGCCAACCCTAATAACTTAATGTGTTTATATAGGGTGCATCACCCTAAATTAGGGTTTCACTAAATCGCATGTATGTCCCGCGTACATGAGTATAGGCCCCGCGTACGTGCTCGGAGTCCCGATCAAGCCACTCATCAGTACGCTAAGCGTACCATGTGGTACGCCCCACGTACTACCCAAGAACCAAATGTATAACTTTTAAATAATAGAGGGCAACAATGAAACATACCAAGATCCAAGTGTTACACAACAGGAATCCCATTAACAAGACATGAAGATGTGGGTATCCCTAGACATGAAGACGATTCTATGGTAGCACAAGGAGATGTGTATGCACCAAGATATGAAGATGAATTTGTTGAAGAGATGCTCATGGGTCAAGTGGAAAAAAATATGGGTGTCTCAATGGATTTGTATCCAATCTCAACCCAAGAATCTCTAGTGGACTTACTATTGCAACAAACCAAAACATCTAAACAACCGATTAGAAGACAAACACTTGTTCCAAGTCAACGAAAGGAAAGTAAAAGGATCCTAAACAACCAACCGCATAAAGATAGTGCTATACTAGTATACTTGGTGCAGAAGGAAGTATCGACAATACAATTTATTTATAATAGATTAAGTAGTGTGTATTGTTTTTACACCTATTTTTTACTTATGGTTAGCAAGGATCTTTTATAATTATGCTATACTGAGAAATGTTAGCAAGCAAACATCATTCAAGTGTCAATTTTATATTGTTGATTTTGGTACCATATATATGATATTGCTTTACTTCATAGTGTTTGAAAATGTTCATTTCTTAAAACTCATTTGCAAATACTATATTTGTAACCCTCTAACATGCATAAACCAACTTTCTTTTGAGCAACAAGGGAACAATTTCATTAAAAAAACATACCCCTAGCCATGACCACCGCTTGAAAGGCAATACGGGGACAAAAAAATAATAAATAAATAAACAAAAAAAAAACAAAGGAATTAAACCTCCACCCACCAAAGAAAAACAAACCAAGCAATTTCAGGAGAAGTTTGCACCACGTTGTAAAAAAATGGCGTGTAATTTAGTAAATGTGGAATTTCAATGTAAAGGGAAAACTAAAAAAGATAACCGACTGCATAACCTCTTCATATTTCAAAACATAACTGCATATAATGTACAATAAATAACATTGTTGCATGAATACATTGTTGCATAAATTTGCAATTTTCCCTTCTTGAAATTGTAAAACAACAATACATGGTTTGCACGCACACACACACAAAAAAAAAAAAAAAAAAAAAAAAAAAAGTAACTAAGCTAGCAAGCAACGCTAGTTGGCTTTTGTGATGTAAAACATAAATGGAGGACAATGCCTTACTCATACTTTCTACCCTACTATTCATAAACTATCTCTAACAAGACTTAAACCCTTAACTTTGCTAGTTTTAATTTTTAGAGAGCACCCTGATTGTGGAACGAGTGAGTGCTTGTATGAATCTGTAAAATAATTTTTCTAAGGACTAGAATACTAGAAGAGTTTGGTGAGTAGTTGTTCTATTGAAGGTTGATTTCTGAAATGTGTTAGATTTGCTGATTTCTGAAACACATGTTGATTTGTTGAAATATACTCTAAAAAATGTGTTGATTTCTTGCTTGAAAAGAAAATAGATGCTGATTTCTGAAATATATGTGCCGATTTCTGAAATATATGGGCTAATTTGCTGAAAAATACTCTCAAAAACAGGTGCTGATTTCTGCATTTGCTGAAAATGTGCTGTTTTTGCTTAATGCTGTGCTGTTTTGCTGAATTTTGTGTTGTTTTGCTGAAAATTTGTTCTTATATGCTGAAAATGTGCTATAGTAATCTGTTTATATGCTGAAAATTTGTTAACTTGATTCGGTTATTTTATAAACAAAAAAGTTGAATTCAGCAATAAATAACACATAAGGGTAAAATGGTCATTTTTATCATTCAGCACTGCAATTCAAAGGGTCCAACCAAACATTTAAAAATTCGGATCTTAAAAATACAAACCCTCTTAGAAATTCAAACCTCTTAATATTTAGATCTTAAAAATTCAGATCCTGCCAAACAGCCCTCGGTATGCTTTGATATATATTTAAAATAAAACATACAAACCAACATGTGAATTTTGAGTTGATTTCTTGAATCAACATAACATAAAACTGTTTCAAATATGTTGAAATGTCATAGTCCACGTCAGCAACACATCTGGCAATGTCACTCGCTACACAACAGGTAACAAAGATGAAAGATAACTTTTTAAATCTATTAAAAAATTGCTGACAAAATCAAACACAACCTCGAAAAATAGAGTTCACAAACCTTCAGCCTTTTCACAAGATACAGTAATTATCATAACCAAAATCAATAGCTACACATTAGTCTCATTATAAAAACAGAAGTAATTTCTTAATAGAAGACTCCTTTATAAGAAGCAATAAGGCTAAACATCTGTTGAATTTAAACCAACATATACAAATGTTAAACAAGGTAGAACTTGTTTGCATCAAGAAAATCAAATGGAAACACAAGGGCACCAGAGAAAGTAGGTGTAATGTACTAAAAATTGATACTCGACATAAACCTAATTCAGAAACATGGATAGTATCATACCTGACATCTCTCAATTCCAATTTTGTCCTCCACCATCCACCATCTCACACTTGGCAGGTGCTACCCAAACAAGACTATCGACATACTCCACGATTTTACCTGCTTCATATTCTACATATGAAAAATCATTCTTCAAAATTTGAGCCTCTTCTGTAACTGGATCATACAAAACAAGACGAGAATACTGATCTTGAATAAGAAACTTGTTGGCTGATGTGAATCCAAATGGATAGGTATAACCAATAAAGTGTGAAAAGACATGACGTTTGACCCATGATTCAGCCACCCCATACTCCTCCATAACCCACACCACACATCCAACATCCTCATCCCGTGACATCACACAAAGCTTTCCCCCCAAAACTCCTAAAGCATCCAATCGGCCATATTTAAAAGCTACTGTAGAATCTGGAAGAGGTATCTCACGGAATGTCTCTGAACCCAAATCAAACGCCACTATCGTTTTTAAATTCATCTCCTCAGTAATATAACCAAGCCAATGAAGATGCCCGTCATGTCCATCCGCACAAACGACTTCATTCTCGTCAATCCATGTGATGTGTGATGGAACCCTTTCGATAATTAACTTCCAGGAACCCTTTCTCATGCTATAAATCTCAACATCCATCCACCATATAACGCAGGATCCATCAGCATAGGCTGTAAGCTTCACAACTTTGTAATCATCAGTTTTCGGATCAAACCCAAACCGGAAAAAGATTTTGATTGAATCATAAGCACTGCAGGGGCATGAAATATGGCGGAAGGGTTAAGATGGCAGAGAGAGAAGGGTTCCAAATCTGAATGACCGTATCACTGTAAGAAGAGCATATTAAGCCGTTGACAGAATCAATAACTCTGATGGTTGTATGTGGAGATTCAGGGTTAGGTGGAAGTTTGATGAAACTAATGAGTTGGGGATTGGGGTTAACCGAGAGTTTGAAGCCATAATAATGGTCATCAGAGAAGTGAAAGAGAGTTTTATCTTTGTTATAGATGGAATGATGGAGTTGGGTTTTTACAAAGGAGGATTTAGATAATAGGGAATTCCAAGATTTAGAGACGCATCTCATTTGAGCAAGCTGTTTGGCCAATAAGCGAATGAATATGTTTGATAAAAGCTCGTTTGGGAGGTTTTCAATAGTTGTTGGTTGCTGTGGTGAAACCATCATTGGTGCATTTTTGTTAATAAACTTTGAATCTTGTCTCAATGCTTTGTTGGCATCCGCAAGCTCAGTAGGTGAAGCAATCTATTTCTCAAAAACCTCAAGAATATAAGTACCACATATTGCACTTGAAAATGTAATCATGGATTGATGCTCAAGGAACAACAAAACCACCAAAAGAGGTGCATGAAAATATCACTCACTCTTGAAATTTTACTAGCAGCAAGGAATTTATCAGAAGGTGACGCCTCGATGGTTCTTGAATGCAACAATGCTATCAAGTACAGGGTTTCAGACCTGTAGCAGCAGCATATATATATAACACATCAGTAATGACAAAATAATTCCAAATAATGAAGCACTTTGAATATTGTCAAAAATACTATTTTACATTTTGAGGTAAAATTAACACACCCCTCAAGTTCAAACAAGCAGTATGAAGTAAAGATTAAAAACAAAAAGCCACCACCTAGAGAGTAAATAATAACAGTGTACAACTGTATAAAAAGAAAGACGGACCTTGTAAAGGTCATCTGTTTTAACATTTGTTCAAGCTCTGACTTCCCAATGATTAAAGAAATCCTAGCAAAATTACTGCCTTGATAAGTGCTAAATTCTGATACGCCACTTGAGTTCTGCAGTCAAGAAATCATTGAGACAAGTACACATTATTATTGATCTAGTAAAGAAAATAAATACTACAACCAGTAACAATTTGAACAAGTCCCTCCATCTACTTTATAACAGTTAACAGACAAGGTTTTTTAAATAAGTTGTTGCCATCAACATTACAGGTTCTTAGCCACATAATAAATTAGATGAATTTAAGAGATAAATGTGAAGAGAGTGGATGTGTGGACTCCACCATTACTCATCATTTTATGTCCAATATCAATGATATAATGGATTATTTGTTAGTGATTTCAGGCAAAGGGCAACCGAGTCCAAGTGTTCAACTCATAAGAGGTTGAACTCCACTATTATTTATCACTCTATGAGAAATTACATTGATAAAAACACTTGCTACTCCCAAGATATAATAAATTATATTTGTTCATGACTTCAAATTAAGGGCATCCTAGTTCAAGTCATAAGAGGACGCTGCTCATTGTTATAAGCAATATATACCATTTAGGATCAAACCAACAAAACAAGTCATGAAGAAATATCATAAAACCCTAAAAAATAAGTATTATTATTTTCCTTTTTAAATAAAACTAGCATAATTCGAGAAAGAAGTTGATGTAAATATCAAATGTGAAAACCAAAGGAAGTTTGGAAACTAACGAAAAAGCAAAAATTAGAAATGCTATTACCATAATTATTGACATCATTATACCACATTCTAATATGTGAAGCACACAAATCAAATGATTCAACACACACAGAGGAAGCACACACCCTAATCACCTATGTTAGAAATCAACAACTTACATTTTGCCCTGCCTCCTGAGAAACATTCTGGGGTCCTTCATCAATCTCTGGTTACAAAAGAGCTTTTGTAAGAAACATGTACATCATAAGCTGAGATTCAAATGAAGTAATACAAAGGCTATTTATCATAAATATCTTAAGTTCCAGACAGACAAATACAAACATTTATAACAAGATTGACACATTGCCAATATCACTTACTACAAGAAAAAAAAATGATTTAAAGATGCAGATATACGAAAGACAATAGGATGCTTAGATTCATAACCTAGTATGACGGTTGACACCACATGACAACTATGATTATGTTTCAAACAGTTTATTTCTTTTGATAATTACTCGCAACTTTTCTAGTTTTTGGCAATAAACTCATAAAAGCATCATGTGGTAAAATAAAATCCTTCCTACAGCCAAAGAAAAAACCTTATCAATTGAAAAAAAAAATGCAGCAATCATTCATCAAAACAAAGAAAAATCTAATACAAAGCCACCAATTATTATACCCTAGGAATGGATAGCCATAAGAACCAGTCTCAACCAAGTCAGTCATGCACAACTCAATGTCGAGTAGAAAACAACTTAAATGCTGTCTAAACTTCTTTTAAAAACCTCCAGACCATTTCCTAAGGTCTTAATAATACTTTAACACCTTAACATCATCTTAAAACCATCAAAACACTTTAATTACACCTTGATCCATGAATCTAGTGTGATGGTTTATTGTTTTAAACTCTCAAAAACTTGATTATGATCAATAAACATTAGTCGAACCTCAAAATGAGTTTTAATCATCAATCTCTCTTTATATCATCAACATTAGTGATTTCAGTGTACAAGTTGAGTGACATTTATGACAATTTCCAGAGTTTGTAAACTATTTGAATTAAGAAATCATGTCACAAATTCCATTCAACCTCCATTAAAGCTATCAAGCACAATGACAACTTCAAGTAGATCATAAGGTGTCAAAATCTAATCATGATGGATTATCTAAATGAAATTAAGTTAGAAAACTTTAAACAAAGTTTATTCCATCATTAATTTCATGAAGTTAATCTCCATTTAGAATCCTCCATAACTAGGGTTCCAAAGCTTCAAAACGCATTCAAACTCCAATTCAAGCAAAACAAAGGTGATTTAAATATAGATCGAAAGATAGATGGTGAAAATGTAACTAGAAACTTACTTAGAACGCTCTAATCACTAACATTTCGGATTTGAAGAGGATCTGAAAACCTTAGGTCGAAAATAGAGAAGAACCAGTGAAATCGTACCTTCCAAGCTTAATGAAGAGTTCATAGCTTCAAGTCTGCACGTAATCTTCAATCTCCTCCTATCCTCTTAAGCTCCAAAATCGCCATTCTCTTCTCCCGTGGTTTCTTTAAAAACGATTTTGGTTCAAATGGGAGAGAATGCTTTCTTCTAACTTTTATAAGCTTTGGCAAAATAAACCCCTCAAGTCTTGTTTGTTTTATTTTGACACCCCACTAAGTCAACTAAAGATCAAGGTTAATTTCGTTAGCTTGACATTTTTAGTCCTTCACAACATGTTACTAGATTTTAACTAATAAATATAATATATTATTATCGTTTTCATTTTATTTAATTATTTTATTACTTATATATTATATGGTTAATAGTTATTTTTTATATAAACAATGTTTTAATTTATCACTAAAATGAGAACATGTATGTGATTGTTTATTTAAAATACTTATTAGTTTATTGTGGTTTAGTATTGTTAATAATCATTTTTACTTTTTGATGGAACAAAACGAAAAACATTTATTGTCTTAAACAAATTATTTTTTATAATTTTGTTCATTCTAACTTATTTGAAGCTACTTATCATATATAAAAACAATTTACTTGAATATCATTATTTTAACCTTAATAGGAAAATACATATCACAACAGTATAATTTATTTTCTTCATCGTAGAAGTGCAAACAACTCCTTTTCTCGATTAATAACTTATCAAATAATAGAGTGGGGCAGAAGACCAACAGAATTTGATCGTTGTTGTGAGTGGAATGATGGATGTGGGATTTCACAAATGAGGAATAAGAATATGAGATAAAAGGGCATTCCAACATTTGGAGACGGATCTCATTTAAGCAAGTTATAGGCCAATAAGCAGATGAATATGTTTAATAAAAGCTAGTATGGGAGGTTCTCCAGGGTCGTTGGGTCTTGTCTCAGTGCTTGGCCAGTGCTAATGGTTCTACGTTTGAATGTCTTCTCGAGCTCAGTACATGAAGCAATCTCTTATTCAAGAACCTGAAAAGATTATAGTAAGATAATGCACTTAAAAATCACCATGGATGGATTGTTGAGTAACAAGTAACATGTGACAATTGGGAGATTCCCGTCATCGACCGTCATTGGATATTAGCATCGACAAATGATAATAATAGAGCTTTTCATATAATATGGTCAAAAATGAGTGACCGAAAAGTTACATCACTTTTAATAATGGTCAGTGTACTTGGAAAATACACAACAAAGTGGTCCCAAGGATATAAACTTTATGAAAATCTGACTCCAATTGGAGGAGTTATGATTTTATAAAAAGTAAAAATCAATCGTGTTAATAACGCCATTAACGTCAAAATGGTATAAAGAAATCGGTTGAGTTTTGGCTAACGTCACTAAAAGGAAAATCGTAGTACTCCGAGAGTTAAGGACTTTAAAAGGAAAAATGTCAAAAACGGAGTTCATATGAAGAAGATACGATTTTTTAAAAAATATAAAATACGGGTTAAAAGTAAAAGTTAAAATTTGACAACGTTGACTTAAGGAAAGTTGTAGTACTGTAGAGAGCGACACGAATATATAAAGAGGGTAAGAAACAAGATTCATATAAGGAAGATTTAGAGGTGCGCGCCATGCTCGACGTGCACGTCTGACACCCGGATTCATCGAGATTGGAGAGATGTGGACCATCAGGAGTGTGATACGTGGTAAACCTCGGAGGGAGCCACGAATCGAGTGCACGACGTGTGTGAAGTGTGATGCGCACACAATCACTATAAATAAAGGTGCTCATTTTATGATTTCTTCACACCGAAAACTCTTGCTCTCTATCTCTCAAGCTATTTCGAAAGTCCTCCCAATGGTGCGAAGCTTCGGGTGCAGTAGCATGAATGCTTCAGATTACGTTACTAGAGTGAGTTCACGACTCCATTTTACTATTTAAAAAGTTTTACCCCGGGGGGGGGGGGGGGGGGGGGGGGGGGGGGGGGGGGGGGGAATACATGCTTATCAAACTACTTTATCAAAATATATTTATATCTATAAATATTAATCATTATATAAAGCATGAAACCTTAGGATAATGTAGTTATAGATACTATACCTAGTTGTAAGCTATGATATTATGCCTAAGAGTTATGATGTCCGATAATCTAGGAAGATGTAACACTCGTTGTCAAGTATTTTTCATTCCAGTCCTTTATGTTTTAAAATTGTTGCAAATGAGGTCCTTCAACTGGACGTACAAGGCTATACGTCGGGCGTAAGTCAGCAGACTTGTGGCGGGTCAAAAGTAGAGTACGTTGGGCATACATCTGAGTCGGGTGTACTCGTGTATTCCCTAGAACCTAATATTTTTGGGTTGTGACCCCTATTTAAGCATCATAATCCCTCTTGGACATTCTCATTACCAACCTCCATCCCTCGAAACCCTAAAGTCGAAACCCTAGCCCTTGTGAGTGAGATTTGAAGCTTGAGAGTGATCCTTGAGTGTTCTTGCTTGTAAAGGAAGTTCATTCAAGAAGTGGTGGTGCATTCATGCCTTTGGATCCAGAATATGCATCTCTCTGTTCACCTTTTAAGGTATAAAGTTCAAACCTTGGAGCTTATTTTGATAGATCTTGTTTAGACTTGGATTTGAGTTCATTTTGTCCTAAAACCTTGATCTTTGTGAGTATGGAATACTCTAGATCATATGAGCTATCATTGCAGACGTTTTAGGGTGCTTAGAGTCATAAAAATGTTAGCTTGGTCCTTTCCTTTCTTCCATGCATGAGTTATGGAGATTTTGGTGAAAGTGAAATGTTAGGGTTTTGGGATTAAGCTCTCTTTAGCCATGAAAAGGTATAAAGTCATAGACTTTATGGATTAGGACGTCTTTTTAGGTTCAGATCTGAAGTTGGAGTAAGTGACTTAATGATTAAGACCTTAAAAATGAAGTTTTGGGATCAGCCGTGTACGCCGAGCGTACTCCTGACTACGTACAGCGTAGCCAGTTGCGAGCCCATGACATCACACAAAGCTTCCCCCCCAAAACTCCTAATGCATTTGAGCGCCCATATTCAGTAGCTACTGTAGAATCTGGAAGAGGTATCTCACGGAATGTCTCAGAACCCAAATCAAACACCGCTATCATTTTTGAAACCTTCTCCTCACCAAAATGACCAAGCCAATGAAGATGTCCATCATGTCCATCCACACAAACGACTTCATTCTCGTCAATCCATGTGATGTGTGATGGAACCCTTTCAGTAATGAACTTCCAGGAACCATTTTTCATGCTATAAATCTCAACATCCATCCACCATATAACGCAGGATCCATCAGCATAGGCTGTAAGCTTCACAACTTTGTAATCATCAGTTTTCGGATCAAACCCAAACCGGAAAAAGATTTTGATTGAATCATAAGCACTGCAGGGCATGAAATATGGCGGAAGGGTTAAGATGGCAGAGAGAGAAGGGTTCCAAATCTGAATGACCGTATCACTGTAAGAAGAGCATATTAAGCCGTTGACAGAATCAATAACTCTGATGGTTGTATGTGGAGATTCAGGGTTAGGTGGAAGTTTGATGAAACTAATGAGTTGGGGATTGGGGTTAACCGAGAGTTTGAAGCCATAATAATGGTCATCAGAGAAGTGAAAGAGAGTTTTATCTTTGTTATAGATGGAATGATGGAGTTGGGTTTTTACAAAGGAGGATTTAGATAATAGGGAATTCCAAGATTTAGAGACGCATCTCATTTGAGCAAGCTGTTTGGCCAATAAGCGAATGAATATGTTTGATAAAAGCTCGTTTGGGAGGTTTTCAATAGTTGTTGGTTGCTGTGGTGAAACCATCATTGGTGCATTTTTGTTAATAAACTTTGAATCTTGTCTCAATGCTTTGTTGGCATCCGCAAGCTCAGTAGGTGAAGCAATCTGTTTCTCAAAAACCTCAAGAATATAAGTACCACATATTGCACTTGAAAATGTAATCATGGATTGATGCTCAAGGAACAACAAAACCACCAAAAGAGGTGCATGAAAATATCACTCACTCTTGAAATTTTACTAGCAGCAAGGAATTTATCAGAAGGTGACGCCTCGATGGTTCTTGAATGCAACAATGCTATCAAGTACAGGGTTTCAGACCTGTTACAGCAGTATATATATAACACATCAGTAATGACAAAATAATTCCAAATAATGAAGCACTTTGAATATTGTCAAAAATACTATTTTACATTTTGAGGTAAAATTAACACACCCCTCAAGTTCAAACAAGCAGTATGAAGTAAAGATATATTAAAAAAAAAAAAAAAAAAAAAAAAAAAGTCACCACTTAGAGAGTAAATAATAACAGTGTACAACTGTATTAAAAGAAAGACAGACCTAGTAAATGTCATATGTTTTAACATTTGTTCAAGCTCTGATTTTCCAGCTTGATGAGTGCTAAGATCTGATACTCCACTTGAGTTCTACAGTCAAGAAATCATTGAGATAAGTACACATTATTATTGATCTAGTAAAGAAAAGAAATACGACAAACAACAATTTGAAAAAGTACTTCCATCTACTTATAACAGTTAACAGAAAATATTTTTTTAAATAAGTTGTTGCCATCAACATAACAGGTTCTTAGCCACACATTAGATTGGATGAATTTAAGAGATACATGTGTGAACTCCACCATTACTCATCGTTTTATGTCCAATTTCAATGATATAATAGATTATTTGTTAGTGACTTCAAGCAAAGGGCAACAGAGTTCAAGTGTTCAACTCTTAAGAGGTTGAACTCCACCACTATTTATCCCTTTATGAGAAAGTCCATTAATAAAAACACTTGCAGCTCCCAAGATATAATAAATTATATATGTTCATGAGTTCAAATAAAGGGGATCCTAGTTCAAGTCATAAGAGGACGCTGCTCAATGTTATAAGCAATATGTAGCATTTAGAAACAAACCAACAAAAAAAAATCATGAAGAAATATCCTAAAACCCTAAAAAACCAGTATTATTATTTTTCCCTTTTAAATAAAACTAGCATAATTCGAGAAAGAAGTTGATGTAAATATCAAATGTGAAAACCAAAGGAAGTTTGGAAACTAACGAAAAAGCAAAAATTAGAAATGCTATTACAATAATTATTGACATCATTATACCACATTCTAATATGTGAAGCACACAAATCAAATGATTCAACACACACAGAGGAAGCACACACCCTAATCACCTATGTTAGAAATCAACAACTTACATTTTGCCCTGCCTCCTGAGAAACATTCTGGGGTCCTTCATCAATCTCTGGTTACATAAGAGCTTTTGTAAGGAACATGTACATCATAAGATAAAATTCAAATGAAGTAACACAAAGGCTATTTATTATAAATATCTTAAGTTCAAGACAGACAAACAGAAATATTTATAACAAGATTGACACATTGCCAATATCACTTATTACAAGAAAAAAACGATTTAAAAGATGCAGATCTATGAAAGACTATTTGATGCTTAGATTCATAACATAGTATACAGAAAATGATATCTAGTCTAATGTGATGGTTGACACCACATGACAACTATGATTATGTTTCATACAATTTATTTATTTTAATAATTACTGGTAACTTTTCTAGTTTTCGGCAATAAACTCATAATCAATTGAAAAGCGCGATGTGGTAACACGGACACCTTCGTACAGGCAAAGAAAAAACCTAATCAACTGAAAACAAAATGCAGCAATCATCCATCAAAACAAAGGAAAATCTAATACAAAGCAACACTAATTATGATACCTATGGTAGCCATAAGAAACAGTCTCTAAATACAGCCAGATAAACCCTAAACAGGTATAATTTAAAAAATTGATCAAAGTTACAGCAAAATAGTTGAACCTGGCCGCAAATGGCTATTCCAAAACTCTTCTGGAGCTCCGCGGTCGCCCGCTGTCGCCATTGAGAAGCTGGAGCTGCCGAGGAGTGAGAATATAGAAAGGGAATGGAGCGAGATTGAGAAACGGAAAGGTAGGGTCTGAATAGGGATTTTATCTGTGCATGCTTATTATGCCTTCGTAGTTGAAAATATTTTATCAAGTATGGTCCTCACAAATTCGATTAGGGTCTTGAGTTTTACAAATTTGACTAAGTCAATAGTTATTGTTTCATTTTTTCCATGGGTCTTTATCCTGATTAGCGCCTATGGTCATCTATTAGTATAATAGATGGTCTCGTAATTCTCGATACCACCTACGACACGATACGAAATAAATGAGTTTGAATTGAGTTTTTCAACCCGTTAATCTGTTTATTAAACAGGTCATATATGAGTTTCTCAAAAATTATACGGGTTGACCCGCCAACCCGTTTAGAATTTTAATAAAAAAAAATTATATGTTTTTTAAATGTATTAATGATTATACACTATACGATTTATACTTTATATTAGGATAGGATACCTGATACCATTGACCATTTGACATTTAGCGTTTGCACTAAACAATCTCAGTATCTCACAAACAAAATCGAATAAGCCCTTTCTCGCTCTCCCCTCTGTGATGAACGAAAAAATGAACTCACGAAGAACGATGGCACGAATGATTGAATCATTATCGAACGACGTTGACGCCTGAACGTGAACGTGAACGACGAACGCACAACGCAGTAGGCAATCGATTTGTTGCGATCCAACCCACGAACACACGAGCCCAAATCTGACCCACGAACTCGCCAACCTGTATAAATAAGTGGGTTGACGGGTCATATATGGGTTTATGTTCCAAACCCGCCAACCCGTGGCCTATATAGTTAAATGGGTCGTGTTCGGGTTGGTATATTTTGACTCGCCAACCCGAACATGACACGATTGTCAGACCTATCTATTAGATGTGAAGCCCCTAGCATTTCTATATTTTTACTACCATATCTTGTTTCAAGTCGATACGAACAAAATAAAAGAGCTAAACTCATCTTATCTATTCATGGCCAAATCGTCATTTATTCCTATTTTTACCTAACAATTATTTTAAAAAATGATGATTTGTGTGTGTGGAAGTCAAACGATTCTTGTTACTTGTAACGACCCAGATTTTTCCACTTCGTCATTGAGGTTAGTTCCGTTAAATTTTCTTGTTAAGTTACTTTTACCATTGTTAAAGTTAACTTTAGGGGCTAAAGTGCAAGAAAAGGTTACTTGATCATGTATATGGGTCATATAGTCATTTTCTCACACTTTGAGGACCTAAATTGAAAGTTAACAAGTATTTAAGCCGCCTTAACCCTAAAATCTCGGATTAAACCCTACTTCGAAGTGTGTTCTTGGATTGTTTTCCTTCCTTGGAGTCTGTGTGTGTATGTGTGTGTGTGAAGCGAATGAAGCAGGAGTGAAGTTTTGGTGTTTGTGGTGGATCTTTGGTGGAGTTCTTGTAGTCCTTCTCTCCTTGTAATCTTGGTGAATTAGTTTATGGACTTTCCAGAAGGTATGAATATCTTCCTTTAGATTATCTTGTTGTTATTCAAACCACACATAGGAAGAAACCTTGGATGATGCCAAAAATCCATGGTTTAGGTGTGTTGGTTGGTCTCATTCATGTCCTAGTCGTTCTAGATACTTAGGTATGGTCTAGAGGGGTTAAGATCAACCCAAAAGAGGCTTTGATCGGACCCAAACTGAGCAGGAGAAGGCAGACAATCGATTTTTTGTTTTGTAACTATCAGCCCCACGATGTGGACATCTAGTTGCCACAATGTGGCGACGGGAGTTGATCGACCCGAATCGCGACTGATGCTCAAACCACAACGTGACACCCTCTTTGCCACGACATGGCTTCTGTCTAAAACAGAATTGATTTTGTTTTATGTTTTGTTTCTGATCAGCTCATTGTGCCATTCTTTTAGGGGTGTTATTTTGCTGGTTAAAAAGTGTTTTTCCTCAGTTCATAACCTTTCATAACTTAGACTATACATGAGTCAATTCATATGGTTGTTTGGGCACGAGTATGGCAAAAATTGCATGCTCTTGTACATATGTTAGGTCTAACTGATTTTGTATGATGTTATAATCTGAATATATAAGATGCATGCAATCTGAAAATGTGAAGTATTTGTCACTAAAAATCTAAAAGTTTGTCGCGGCAAACCAAAAAAATGTCACTAAAAAACTTTAGTGGGAGCGCTTCTAGTGACATTTCTTTTGTGTGTCGTGGATTCTTAGAGGTGACTTTAGTGGCACTTTTTCAATTTTTTGTGGCACTTTTTGTATGCCACTAAATGGCTTTTATTTTGTAGTGAGCCCACATCATAAGTCTGGCTTGCCCCCTGGGCCCACAACTTATGTCTCGCTTGCTCTCCGGCCCAATCAGTCCTCGTACTGAATACCACTAAGCCCTCAGTACGAGTATGGCATGCCCTTCCGACCCTCAGCTCGTATTTGGAATGCTCATGAGCCCTTAGTATGAGTCTGGCATGCCCTCCCTGGCCCTCATCTCATATCCGGTATGCTCCAGGGTTTGTTGGCTACAACACAGAGCAGTACAACCTCAACCTAACCCACACAGTATGTCGACATATAACAGATAATATCATAAACAGATAAATAGACAGTATCACAGGTAGTCCTACAGATCTACTAGACTAGCATATCAAAACTAGCATGCATATCTATTCCATACTCAGCATATAAAAAATATCAGGTTATCAAACCAATGGGTCGGCCTTTGTGCCTTCGACCCGAAAGTATAGTGAGGAAAACTCACCTCACAACTAAACACAACTGATAAGGCTCGACTCCGAATCTTAGCTCTAAACTCAAATGCCTACAACCACCAAGTGACCAATTCCATCAAAATCCCAACAATACCCAAAATACCCTTAAAAGTAAAACTTGGTCAAACATGGTCAACTCAAATTCAACTGGTCAAAGTCCATAAACCCACTGAGTCAACCCAGCCGAGTCGACCCAACCGAGTTAACTCGAAAATGGCTGATCCATGCGAGTATGTGGGGCGTACTCCGGAGGTACGCGCATCATACACAAGGCTTCGCATAAACCACCATCAGGGTGGTTGACCGATTACGCGGGGCATACGCCAGTCTACGCGGGGCGTACCCTCGTATATCCATTTCCTTCCTTAAGTGCTTAATGGCTTTAGCACTTGAACTCGTACTTCAAATCCAAGGTACAAAGGCATACTAGAGTCATAAAGCTCCCAACTTTATGACTTTCCATGTCTAGAAATTCCTTAATGCAAGGTCTTAATCCATTAAGACCTTCTACAAGAAGCATGGAGCCAAACTAGCTAAAGGGACCTCATTTTTATGGCTTAGAACCATTCCTAGGGTCTGAAAGGACAACCCAAAATGTCCAAAACCAAACATGCATAAAAAATGGGACTTTTGGGACAAAAAGAACATCATAAAGCTACCAAAATGAGATCCAAGCAAACAAAGCATCAAGGTAGAAACCTTTTACCTTCTGGAGCCTCCCAAGAAGGTGATGATCCAAGATCCACAAGCTTGATTCTACTTCTAATCTCCATGATGCAACTCTTTATTCCTTAAGCACACAAAGAACACACTTTTAGCTCAAAACACTCTCTTATGGGGCTAGGGTTTGCCAAAAATGACTTAAGGGCTTGGAGGCTTGAAAAGATGAGGGAAAATGATCCATAAAGGTGCTTAAATACCCCACAAACCCTAAAAATTGGGGTTTCACTCGAACATAAGTACACACAGCGTACATATGTGTACGCCCAACGTACTAGGGCGCACCCTAGTACGCTTAGCGTACACCTCCTTTCCCTAAATTACCATTTTGCCACTAGGGCTTCTTAGGGTTACTTCCTTACAATCCAAGGACCAAAATGACATAATTTAAAACCAAATGAGAGATTTGAAAATACCTGAAACAGGGGTGTTACACTTTACATGCTACAAAATGATGCTATGTGGTAATTTTGAGAGTTTACCTTTATCGTATGATGTGAGATGTAATATGAATTGGAATAATAATATTAATATACAAGTATGATTACATAGTGTTATTGGTGAGGTGTGTGTATGCCCCATGTGAGTAGAATAATTAATTATAAAATTAATTAAAATAAAGGGGAATACATATAACGAGGGTAAAAGGGTAGAAACCTAAACTTAGGGGCGTGTCCTGTGGGATATCGCGGTTGCAGGATATCGTTGGAGGAAAGAGCTTAAGCTAAGTCGATGTCGAGTGGGTTTCAAAACATGGTTCCGGTTGACTTATTGTACGGGTACCAAAGTGATGTTGGCTACTCTGAGACGACAAATCTAGTATCACGTTTAGGTGTAGGTATGCGTTTGGAAGTACCGTTCTACCACCCTCAAACGACAACACATCATGTTCATACATGTAAAGTCGGAGTAGTGAAAATAGATACCTAAGGATAGTGTTACGGGTGAAAGTCGCGCCCCATTTGGTGCACTGGATCGCCAGGTCATGTTAGTAGTGAACATGGTCTTTCTTTGGGGATTTTAGCGATGTTTTAGACCCATATTGTAACATCCCAAAAATTCAGATAAAATTTTCATTTTCAAATTCATTCCAATCATACAATAATCATATCAAAACAATTGAGAGTGTATCATAGTAAAATATTATCAGAGTACAAAATCCCAAATCACATGATGCGGAAAACACATAGGTGGATGCAATGTGATTAGGCCATCAACAAAGAATCACAAAAACTTATAACAAAAACATAAAAGCCAAAAGATTTCAGGTAGGTGACTTGGTTCTTAAGAAAGCGTTCCAAAATACCAAGGATCCTAGTGCAGGCAAGTTGGCACCCAAATAGGAAGGGACATATCTCATCGATGCAAAAGCAGTAAAATGAGCATATTGGATAGATACCCTCGAAGGGGACATCTTACCAAGATCTTGGAATGCCATACACTTGAAAACATATTTCTTGTAAGTCCACAATATTTCTTTTTCCAACAAGATCCAAGGTAAACATTCTTTACCCTTTGCTTTTGTTTGAATTCTTTTATTTGTTTTTTG